ACAAATAATGGAATATTAGTCAGCCATAAAAAGAAAGATGTCTTTCCATTTGTGGAAACATGCCTAGGAGCTAGAGGTTATTATACTAAGTGATGTAAGTCAGACAGAAAGACAAATACTATAATTTCACTAGCATGAAATCTGAAAAACAAGAGGACAAATACAATTTAAAAATATAATGAAATACTCAGATACAGAGAACAAACTAGTGGTTGCCAGAAAAGGGGTTGAGAGATAGGGTGAAATAAATGAAGGAGATTAAGAGGTGCAAACTTCCAGGTATAAAACAAATACATCACAGGGATGACAGCAAAGGAAACACAGTCAACAATATAACTTTGCATGGTGATAGATGGTAACTAGACTTATAGTGGTGATCATTTCATAATGTATAAAAATACTGAGCCACTACATTGTATATCTGAAACTAATATAATATTGTAAGTCAATTATGTGTCAATGAAAAAAATAAAAGATTCCATATCTGTCCTAGTGCTTGTATGTCCATTTACCTAATTAACTGAAATCAAGTAATTAGCAGACCCATGAAGTCACAAGCCAATGAAAAAGTGAACTTTTTAAGATTGAAAAAGTCATTGATTTATGCTCAGCAATTCCATCCTTAGGAAGTGCATTCATATCTTGAATTCTGCATGAAGTTATGTGAATTATACAATTAGGCAATATGCATTTAGCTATAGTCAACAGAGTTCTGATTTGACTGCCAATTAGGGTTGCATGTTGACTACCACTTAAGTGAAATATGATGTGGAGGGTAAAAGATTACCTCATCAAGTCTGCATCCGTCTTTTTTCCTAACAGATTTAGGCCTACGTTCAGTGTGCAATTAAATCACAAAATACCAGACACACTGTGACCTCCGTGGCAAGTGTTGGTGCATATATTCACTTCCTAGTTGACAAGCAGTACAGTTACGTTATAGAACTTCAAGTTGTGTGCAGTTCCAAGACTCCTACAGAACCACGCAGGAGGAAAACTCCAAGTAGCTCTGGGTTTGATTAAAAGAAGAAATAAAGAAAAGGTGGGGCTTGAAATGCTTGATTGAGGAACAGGTGAGGTTAAAAATGACTGAAGAGTTACTGAACTCATTTTGACATGTTTTATATAATGGCCGGAAAATACAAGGGCACGTGCAGCACAGTTAAATCTTTCCCACTCGTTAATAGAGGGGATACGAAGGTCACCACTGTGCAAAGAGAATTGGCTAATCCCTGCAATGCATGGTGTACCCAGTACCCCTTTATTGAATTTTGTGGAGGAAAGCTGGTCTGAATTAGGCTTTCAATAATTATTGCAGGGACCTGACACAAACCTTAACAAGTCCCATAATGGCCTATCTATATATTCAGGCAAATTATTACATACTGACTCATACCGCTGGGCTGTAGACATTCTCCTGTTCCCTCTGAACCTCTTTTGAACTTACTTTACATTTTACAAGATGCAAGTGAAAATAGTTGTGTAAATTACAGAAATAAGCCGAACGACACCCTTGGAGGGAGGGGTCGTGCTGATGCTTAACACCACGTTTAAGTAAAATGTGAGCCATTTCATCCTTGAAGCCTGACGCTGCCCTTGAAGTGGCAAGTATACTCTTCCTGGCATGCTTGGATATTGTAGACAGAGACGCAATCAATGTGTCTTCAACAAGCACAAGGAGGAGGCAGCTTTAAAAGTCAGACCCTGACCAGAGTTCTCTGAGAATGACAGCAAAGTTACAAGGGGCAGACGACACCATCTTTCTGGGAAAATACGAAAAGAAAGAATGGAAGACATTGGTAGTGATCGGTACAACTTCAATTCCTGCCACGTGATTTCCAAAAACTTTCAAGGACAAGACAACCTGATGTTAACTTTCTCCCCAGTTACTCTGAGAGTTCCTAAATGAAATACACGTGTTGGTATTTAATTTACTACCCTTGGTGTAACGCCAAGCCCAGGACATCTTGTGACAAGGCCACCACTATCAGATATTTCTCTCACGTCAGTAACTAGGGGGCAAATATTTCTGCTTGCTTTCAGATTTGGAGATTTTTCTCCTTTTGTTTGCTTCTTTATCACTAGAAGGCTAATGTTAAAGTGACA